TTAAGTATGATACATGCATCTATCTACAGTTTGGTGAGCGCCAAACATACCGCCCACCAAAATACAACGAGTTGTATTTTACTGTCAATTTGAATCGGTCGCCTGTGGAGCAGGGCCCATCGGCAGGGGGCACAGCTTCACTAGGGGACGCGTGATCGTGCCGTCCGCCACCCGCACCGTGGCGACACGCGGGACGCCGTCGCTGCCCGGATGCAGCGCCTCCACTCGTCCTCGCCTCCAACGCAGAGGAGGCATGTTGGCGTCCTTGAGGAAGACTAACGCACCGACACCGAGCGGGTTGACTGAGGTCCACCATTTGGGACGCTGTTGCAGCGTATGGAGATACTCCTGATGCCAGCGCTTCCAGAAGTCCTGGTGTATTCGTTGGACGAGTTGCCACCGACTCAGCCGATTCATCGGTAACGGGGTCACGTCTTGAGTGGGAACGGAGACGAGCGGTTCCATCGTGAGGAAGTGACCCGGCGATAGGACTTCGAGGTCGGCAGGGTCGGTGCTCATCGGGCAGAGGGGTCTGGAATTCAAGACGGCCTCGACCTGCGCGAGGACCGTCGTGAATTCCTCTATTGAGAGGACTTGATCACCCACGGTCCGCCGCAGGTGGGTTTTAAAGGTCTTGACTCCCGCCTCCCAGAGGCCCCCGAAGTGGGGCGCGGAGGGAGGATTAAAGGACCACTTGATCTTCTCTCGCTCCGCTGCGAGGCTCATGCGGCTTTCTAGTTCCCGTGCGGCCCCTACAAAATTCGTTCCGCAGTCGCTGTAGAGAAGCGAGCAGCGTCCGCGTCGGGCCACAAAGCGTCGCAGCGCAGCGAGGAAGGAGTCGGTGGACAACGAGAAGGCGGCTTCCAGGTGCACCGCCTTAACCGAAAAGCATACGAAAAGGCACGCGTACACTTTGACGGAGGAGACCCCCCGGGCTCGTCGCGTAACTATGTTGAACGGTCCCGCGAAATGAACGCCGCTGATCGAAAATGGCTTGGCCCGTCGGACCCTATCGGCCGGTAGTTCCGCCGAGGGGCTGAGAGGCTGAGAGGTGTGTGGATTTACGCGGAAACATTGATGACACCTCAAGAGTACGCGTTGTATAGCGCGATGCACCCCGAGGACCCAATAATGTTGCGTGAGCAGGTATTGCAGCGTGCGCCGACCAGGGTGCATGTTCGTGCGGTGCACGTGCTCGATAACGAGATCCGTGAGCCTATGTTTACAGGGCAGTAAGGCAGGGTGCTTGTTCTCGAATGTCAATCCGGATTTTGCAAGCCTGCCGCCCACCCTGAGAATACCCACCGGATCAAGGAAGGGAGCGAGTTTGCGAAAGGGCTTGGGGAGCCTTCTCCCGCTTTGAAGACGATCGATCTCATCGCGGAAAGCATCCGCCTGTACACTCTTCACAACGAGTAGTAACGCGGAATGCAGTTCGAGCTGATCTATGGCCAAAGTCGTAGGAGCAGATTTTGCACGGAAGTGATGTACAAACCTGAGAACGTATGCTATAATTCGGCCAATTTTCTCAATTGAAGAGAATCTTTCGAGCAATGAATGTACCGCGTCAGGCGGATCGAGCGCCACGAGCGATACGATTTTCTCCTCCTCGATCGGAGGGGTTTCCGAACCGTGGGAAGGCTCAACTCGGGGTTCGAAGCGAACAAGCCACTCAGGGTCCGCCCACCACATCGAACTGGCCACCAGATCGCGAGGATAAAGCCCGCGGGAGCAGTGATCCGCCGGATTGGACTCCGTGTCGACATGACCCCAAGCTGATACCGGCACGTTGTCCTGAATGAGGGCAACGCGATTTCTAACGAAGGTCTTCCACCGTTGTGGTGCTGAGCGGATCCAGGCCCGGGCGACCTCGGAATCCGTCCAAGCATACTCGTCGTCAATGTCAAGGTGTCCGCGGAAGGGTGCGCCGGACGTACGCGATTAATTTAGACAAGAGCAGAGCCGCGCAGAGCTCCAGACGGGGAATGGTGAGGGGGCGAAGCGGGGCGACCTTAGACTTGGCGCACAGTAATCGGACCCCGACGCCGTCGCGCGTAACGATTCGCAGATAAATCACGGCTCCGTACCCCAGCTCGCTGGCATCGCAGAACCCGTGGAGTTCGCAGCGATCTACATGGCACGAGTTAAACGCGCGAGGAACGCGAAGGGAAGATAACATGCCGAGCTCCGTCTGGAAACGACTCCAACTGCGACGAATGTCCATCG